AACTAGGGCATGAGATGGAAATGTGAAATGGTATTTACATAGTCTCAAAATTTTGTTTATTCCATAATAGCAGGAGAGGGGAGGCAGTGATTTTATAATGGAGAAATCAAGCAGATGCATTGGCATCACATGGGACAAAAAGGTATCTGTGCCTCCAAATGTATAACTTGTATACTCTTCAATTCAGACACTTGTATAGCTCTTCAATTATGTTCCTGCCCCAAATTTATAACTTGAATAAAACAAACTAAATCAGTGGATATTCTACAAAGTAAATGTCCTATATTCTTTAAGAACTAGGTCGTGGAAGAGAAATGCATTGGCATCACATGGGACAAAAAGGTATCTGTGCCTCCAAATGTATAACTTGTATACTCTTCAATTCAGACACTTGTATAGCTCTTCAATTATGTTCCTGCCCCAAATTTATAACTTGAATAAAACAAACTAAATCAGTGGATATTCTACAAAGTAAATGTCCTATATTCTTTAAGAACTAGGTCGTGGAAGAGAAATGTTGATGGATAGTCTCAGGACACTTGTATAACTCTTCAATTATGTTCCTGCCCCAAATTTATAACTTGAATAAAACAAACTAAAACAGTGGATATTCTACAAAGTAAATGTCCTATATTCTTTAAGAACTAGGTCGTGGAAGAGAAATGTTGATGGATGAATAGTTCTAGAATAGAGGTGCCTATATGGCGACCTGGCAGATAAATACACTTTGTAATCTTGGTTCAGAATTGTTGCGATTAGTGTGTAGACAAGAGGAAAAATAGGTAAACTTGCAACATACTCTGTAGATGGGATAATGGAATTGTATCAATGTTAATTTTTATTCTATTGTAAGTTCACTTTGGTTAAATGAAAGATTTGTCTTTAAGAAATGCGTCTTACTGAATTCAAATGAAAAGGAAATTATATCAGGAACTATTAATAAATGTCCTAATAATGAATGTGTTTATGTAAATATATGTGTATATTAACACAAAAATAGGTGATAGATTGGATAGTAAATAGATAAGTAAACAGAAATGTGAATGATAGAGCTAATGAAATTAAATTTCAGATATTCATAGAATAAAGGAGAAATGTAATTACATTTTTATTTTATATTTGCAGTTTTTTTATAAAACTAAAATCATGTCATCAAAATATTTAAATAGTAAATGAGTAACATCATGTGAAGCCTTTATTAAATCTACAGAATATGTATACAATATAACAAAACTTTATAAAATGCTATTAAAATTGATCTATAAAATACTTAAATTTTTACTAAGATCCACTTACATTTCTGAAGTAAAGACTTGATATTTGATAACCTTCAGGTGACTCAAATAATTTAATTTAAGACTTTTCTGAGTGTTTGATAGTATATTGAAAGAGAACAGTGATTTATATGTTCCCTATTGCTAAAAAAAAAAAAAATTCTCTTTAAGCTTGAGTTGATTTATCCAGAAAGATAATTATAGTAAAGTAACATGGGATAAATTGTGCCAACTCTGATTATGCACAACAAAGCAAAATTGTTTTCAACATTCCTACACAATTATTATGGAAAATACTGTGTGCTATGAAAACATTATGCTATTGTGAATGCAAAAACCAAATAATTTTCTTAAACAATTGTTAGAATGATTTTAAATTGTGTTTACAAATCTTGCAGAGAGATAAATTTTAATCTCTATCCATTTAAAGCTGTGTTAATGTAATAGAAAATTTTTCAAAAAGTAGAGGATGCGCAGTAGTACATATATGTGTAAAAAATAAATATGAACTCATTTGGTAATTTTATTTATTTGTATTTGAATTGCCTTGGTCAAATATATAGGAATAGCTACAGGGAGATTTTAGTGTAAATTTATGTTTCTTTTCTGTACCACTTTGAAAATGAAAGTATAAGTCTTGTACTACAATCTGTACTAATATGATTTTATAATATATGCCTTATTATTCTTTATTGGACAACATATAAAGTTCTGGTATTACAAATTTTATAATTAATTTAAGTCACTGATTTTATTTTTTTTAAGAGTAGAAAGAGTTTATTGAGAGAAAGATAGCTTCTTTCTAAAACAGAAAAGTACTAGAAAGTGGGTTGTCCAGTTCACTGATTTTTACACTTGAACCTCAGGTATTTATTTTACTGGCAAAAATTGATGAAATAAAATGTGACAAAGAAAGAAAGGAATTCTATTATTGATATGCATATATATTTGTGCAATCAAGTAGAGTTGAATAAAATCCAGTAGAAATATGAACATCTAAATATATGTTTCTTTTAGTGTAAATTTAAGAAGATTTAAATATTTTGGGAAATAAATTCAATTTAAAAATGAATTTCCTTCTCTATTGTTCTTTTCAATTTAACTTGAGAGATGATTAGCTTGTGAGAGCACTGATTTAATCAATGAGTCAGCCGCATGTTAATTTCATGCTGAATGAGCTATAAGGAAGTGTGGAGGAAGTGGGTTATTGGGTAGCTAGAGTGGGTGGGGACTATATCATTACTGTCCTCTTCAATGGGGCCCTGTCCCTGCTCTCTTGCTTCTTGGCTGTCATGATGTAGCAACCATTCTTTGCCATATTTTCTACTATGAAATCTCTGTCCTGGAGCCAGCTTGCTATGGACTGAAATCTCTGAAACTGTGAGAGAAAATAATCATTTTCTCCTGTCAGCTGTGTATGGAAGGTATTTTGTTCTAGTATTGAAAAGCTCACTAACATATATGGATTTATTTACAAAGTCCAGGTAGTATGGTGACATGACATCCATATCCATTAAGGTCATGGTTATCTCTGCCCCTCCAACTTTTGAAATTTGATTGGTGCATATGATACTTGGTTGTACTTTGGAACAAAGACACTTAAATACAACAACTAGTGACTTTTTATTGATAAAGTTTTGAGGTAGAGATGGAGGACAAAGGGTGGATATGGAAGGAGAAAAGTATAAAGTTTTGGCCAATTTTTACTAACTCTTTTTTTCTTGAGTCAGAGTGGTGTCATTGACTCCATCAAGAAAGGATTTTCAGTCCATGAAAGTCTTCAAACTGAGAGTTAGTTCTATTAGCGTGTTAATGGTGTCATCTATGTTGGCTTTAGGGACTGCAGGCTCAGCAGCCACAGCCATGCTGTCACTGAGAGTGAGAGAGTTCAGAGACAGAATTTTCTGCTGGCTAGGAAGAAATAAACTGTGTTCTGAAATGCCCCCTAGAGCTGAGAGCAGTCCCCAGGTAATAGCAACAAGAAAAGACAAAACAAAAAGCAAAAACAAAAATCAACCTGAGGCAATACATGAGCGTTATTTTAAGCTGCTAAAGTTGTAATTTGTTACACAGCAATAGAAAAGTAATATGCTTAGTAGTATTCCATTTTATAGGAAAGCCACATCTTCTTTATCCAGTTTCCAACTGATAGGCAAATGGCTGTTTCCAAGTTTTAGCTATTACAAACTGTGCAGCTATAAACATAGGTGCACATACATCACTGTGGTATGATTCTTTTAATTCTTTTGGAAAGATACCCAGCAGAGGGATGGCTGGAATACTGCTCAGCCATAAAGAATGAGAAATTAGATTCATTCGTAGGAAAATGGATACAATTTGAGAATATACTCCTAAGTGAAATAAATAAGTCACACATGTCTAAATACTGAATAGTGTCTCTGGTGTGAAAAACAGTAATAGTACATGAGATCTTCATGAGGTAATTAACAATGTGAAATAGGAAGAAAAGGACTAAAGGTGTAGGGAAAGTGGGAAGGGTAGGGGAAAGGGAATAAGGGAAAAGAAAAAAAATCTGAGAAAATGGAAATAAAATGTTTGTAAATGGGGAGGGGAGAAAGGTGTGAACGGAGGGCAGGGACAAGGGGAAAGGTACAATGTAAAGGTACAAGATCCCAATAATGAATGTAATTGAACTGTATACCTGAAATGTACCAATAAACTCAATTAAAAAATAAAGAAATGCTTGTTATATAAATTATACAATAAAGTGAACTCTAGCTTTTTCTTCCTGCCACTCTACTCCTCTGCCAGCCTTTCTTCCCCAATACTTTCCCTTTCCTTTCTTGCTTTTTTATTCTTCCTGTTTTCTTTCTGCCTTCTTTTCTTCCCTTTCTCACCTTTCTTTACTTTCGTTTTTAAAACAAATCGCTATACTTTATATTTTCACATAGCATATCATTAACATATTACTGATAAAATATAAAAATTTAACATTTACCTAAAATTAACTAGACATTTTTGTGATATCTACTCATTCTTAACTATAATTTTGAAACTTTGGATCATAGCATTATAGATTGTTGATTGTTGGTGAATGAATTCTGCAATCAATTAATGAATAATAAAGTATACATAATGTTTTATGACCAACCTATGATATTTATTAAATCCAGGTCTTTATTTGCAATAGCCATAGGTGAAGTGCTCAAAAGCAATACATGGACAATTCGAGGATACTACATTTATTGCAAGTATTTCTATTAATAATCTTGATTATACCAACAATCTAAAACTATTTTGACATGCCAATTGTAAATAATGATATTATTCTTTTTTCCTATATTATCCAAATGTTACAGGGTCAATTTGGCTATATAATTTCAATGATGGCACTTAAGATATAATCGGGATCTTCGAAATATAATGAGGATAATGAAGGTGGCCAAATGTGTATTATATTAATAGCATCTTATTACCGTTTTTCTTCTCAAGTCTTTTATCATTCAAAAATAACCCAGAGGAAGATATATGTTATAGATTTTATGAAATTAGATAATGAATTCAAGAGTAATCTTCTTTTGTTTTTTATTTTGTTTTGTTTTTGTTTTTGGTACCAGGGATGGACCTCAGGACTTTGTGCTTTCAAGGCAGGCAGTGGAACTATTGAGCTAAATCCCTGGCCCCAGAGTAATCTTCTTAAACCTTTCAAAATTATTCACAGGTCCCTACACAGAGAAATAAATAAGACAAAAATATTAATTTTTAGTGTTGTATGAAAGGGGAGAAGGTTAGCACTCCCCTTGACAAGGATGGAAGAGGTCCTTGGGCCTGACAACACGAATACAGTTAAGACATTGCCACCTACTTCGTGGAAAAAATACTGATTTTTTTTCTAAAAATAAGAATATTTGTCTTAAGTTCCTATAGAACTGTGTCTAATTGTAATGATTTTTTGAGAACAAGGCACAGTTGTGGGTAAGAGCTTACACTCATGGGCAGTATGACCTAGTTGAAAATGCAATTCTGACCTGATTAGTTATGTAACTGTATTGTGCTTCAGTTTGTTTATCTAAGAACTAGGTGTGATATATTAGCTCGTAAATGTAAACAGTTTTCTAGGACTTAAACAATTAAGAGTCCATAAAAAATTTAGAAATGTGAAAGCATTCAGAACCTAGGAAAATAAGTCATTATTAAAAATCTCCCTTTCTCTGTAATTTGCTGAAGGATCAGGTCAGCAAATATTATCAATACTTTAAGGGACTGAGAATAGGGAAAACAAATTTATTTAAAAATGTAAGGAATGGAAAACATTTCTATCCTTTATCAAGTACACTAGTATACAAATTATCATAAATTATAATATATAATTTCTCAGAAGAATAAATCTAAGACACTAAACACTCAAGGCCATATAAATATCTTTTGTTTAAATTGGTTTGTAAAACAAATATTTTAAGAATTCAGTGGCCTAAACATCTTGAAAAATTGCTGGAGAAAATCCTCATCTTTTAGGCTTTTCAGAAAATAATATTTATGTCCCTAAGTAACACATTTGCCATTAAAACCATGATTGAATACTGAGCCCTATCATATACTGTTATATATAAAACATTATATTAAATATAGCAACATTGTGTTACTTCCAGCATATTTTTGACTTGAAACATCAATTTAATTTGCTTAAAGAAACTACTGTGCACAGACTTTCCAATTTTTTTTGAAAATATCTCTCAACAAATATATATTTCTTATCTGTTTCAAAATATTCCTTTTTCGTGGCAATGGGAACAATCCTTAAAAGACAATTGCTCTTTTAAATGTAAAAGAAAATGCAAAGCTTCCTACTAATGATGATAAATTAGGCTTCTAGATTCTGATATTTTTTATTAAAACAAAAATCATGTTTAATTGGGGCAATCATTTCATGTTTTATAAAACAAAAATAAATAACATTTATTTTACAACCAGTGAATCTATTGAATCTATTAAATTCTCAGCCTTTAATAAATGGTATCCTACAATAAATGTGTATTTTCAGAGTCAGCCTGGGCAATTGAACAACTTAATGTGAACTTGTCTGAAAATGAAAATACATATCCTGAAGATATAGCTAAGTACAGGTTATCTAAAATTGATCTACAGTACACTCCCCCCAAAATCCTCCCCTTTTTTGCCCTTAATATTTACCATTTCTAGATCCAATGGCTGCCAACTTTGATTATCAGATGGACTTTGTCCAGCATATGTGAAAATCACAACCTATTCCAATCAGTTAATTCTGTCTAACAGTTTTCAGTGAAAGGATTAGGTGCATAGATAACCCTTCTTAATTAATTCTGCATTTACTTGGGAATCTAAAGGGATTTTTGTTGATATTGATTGTGTCTTTGTACATAAATTAGTATTGTCTCCATCTACATACATATGTATATATATATATATATATATATATAATGAAGTACATATTTATCTTTATATGCTACGGTGCATTATTAACATAATATAAATCTAAAATATATACTAAATAATATGAAAAATTTACTTTATACAAGGTTTGTCTTGGAAATAAGGCAATATTCAGTCTGCCCTTTTTAAAAATAGGGCCTTAAAAATTATTCTCATTTCTCGTGCTCTTCTTATACTGTGGTTTCTTTGAAGTATCTCGCTGAGAGATTAGGCTAGTAAATTCCACAGATGAAACTCGATGGTACACTGGCTCATATACAGAGATCTATGAAAATGGTGCTGTATAATTTCAGAGACAAAGTCAGAATAGAGATGATCTGTCTGCTCACCATCTTCCCAGGGGAAGAATCCTACCACTTTTGGGGCAGGGATAGCATTAGCATGGGTCTTGGAAGATTTTCAAACATATCATTAGTTATTGAATAAACACAATAGACAAAAAGAAGGTTAATACTTGAAATTCAAATGTTAAAAAATTTTGCAAAACCAAAGTGACTAAGACATTATAACTAGTAAACAAAAATTTTAAGTTAAATTTGATTAATATGACTGATGAAAATTCCTAATGATGCCAAAATTTTGTAAAATCTCATAGAAAAGAAATGTTGTGCAAAATATTCAGAGTTTAGAGCACAGGGTTAATTATAGATTGAGCACACCACGATAAAGTTTTCATAGTGTTAAGTAGTGATCAACAGAAATTTCAATTGTGAAAACAAACAAGAAAGAAAAACGAATAGTGAAAATTTTATATACATTTGTTCAAATGCAGAGGTTATAGGTTAGGAAAGATAACACTGATAAAGAACTACTTAAAATGAATTAACAAAGTAATAAAAGTATCAGCTCACAATTTCAAGAAGCTCCCAAATGACAAAATGAAAGTTAAAATGACTTCAAAGCCATGTGTAAATTTTTTCAACACTAATTAGCATAGCTAAATATAGAAAATCAGAAAAGTTGTTTATGAATAAGAGGCTAAATGGTATTAAGAAATATTATTTTTCATTTTATAAAATAATATAGCATTAAGTTTAAATATATGTACTTTTTTTGAAAATTAATGAGAAACTTGAATGAAATTATAAGACATCTGGGATTACAAAAACCAGTATTTTTTGAAAATATATTTTAGAACACTGCTTTCTAAGATTTATCAAAAATCTTAATTTTTGCATAAAGCTGATTATATGGGTATTTCTTGTACTAATGGTGTATATTGGAAAACTCAAAATATAATTCATTGTTAATAAAAACTTTTTTATAAATTTAGGTAATAAAGCGAACAACAAAGATTTATATACGTATATATACATGACTCACAAAATTAAGAATGGTGGACATCTATATCAAATAAAATTTAATTTCATTCTACCAGAGAAAAAATATTTTTTGCATTTATTTATTTTTATTTTTATTTATTTATTTTTGGGGTAATGGGGATCAAACTTGAGTCCTTGCTCTTGTGAGGCAGGCTACCAACCACTGAGCTAAATGCCCGGCCCTTGAAAATAATTTTCAATAATACCATTATAAATATGGTTCATTCTTTTAAAAGTCCTTATTCATAAATACATTTTGTTGAAATACTCAATTTAAACATAATATTTTGATAAATATCATATGATACTTCATTTGAAAATCATTTAATTTTCTTAAATATAGTTAAATATAAATATAGTTGTGGATAGATTAAAGGTGATTAGAAATATTTGGTATTATTTCTTCCCTTGAGTCTCAGTTACCTGAGTGACTTGCTTGACTAATAGAAAGTACCAACATTGGCAGGGCATGGTTGTGCATGCCTGTAATCCCAGCACTCGGGAGGCTGAGGCAGGAGGATCGCTGTGAGTTTGAGACCAGCCTGGGCTATGTAGTGAGTTCCAGATCAGTCTCAACTACATAGTGAGACCCTGTCTCAAAAAACAAAATAAAATCAAGCAACCAAACAAAAAATCAAAAATGAAAGTACGAACATCAACAAAATCAATAGAAAAATGATTGCCTATTCCTGGCCCAGCGAGTTATGACATAAAATGAAGGATTTTAAGCCCATTGATTTTTTTTCTTCTGCAAAATTATATAAGTACAATTATCTTACATGGGAAATAATATAAAGATTATTTAAATATTAAATTTACCATTTCTCAACCTTTTATTTCAAAGTTAATGGTCTCCAAGTTTTAATGGCATACACTTACAGTCACACATACTTGATCATAAATATATCCAAAATACTTATCTGAATAGATGTACTATGTGAAATTTACACAGTGTACACTGCATATATTTTAGTGTAAAATATAAAAAACAAACAGTACAATAAAATATTTATAGAATTTTGCATCAGAATCTGGTGAATAATTTTCAAGTTTTCTTGGAAGTTTTCCAGCTGGAGAAGTTTTGATCATTGTTGTATGTGAAAAACAACACATAGTTGAAATAGAAATCACATTGACTGCAACAGTTGTCCTCTCATTTTTACTTTCAGTAGTTTTGAAATTCATAATAAGACTTTCATTTTACATCACCCATTTATTTTTATGGTTATCTTAAATTAAAGTTAGATGATATTACACTTAATTAGATATGATTAATTAAAATAAATTTCAGGACAATATACTCTCTTAAAGGTTGTGCTCAACCTCTCTGGAGCTGGCATTGCCATCATTTCTCGGGAAACTTCATATATGATATCTTAGGGTATGAAATGATTTATTAGGACCAAACTAGGTTACCAGGTAAAATCTCATTAGTATATTACAAAATATTAATTTCTCTTTCTAGATTATGTGGACTGCCAAAACATGCACACATAACCTATATCTTCTTTCTCTAATTAAGTGCATAGTTTTGCGTCTTCACAAGACTACATGGATATATGTGCCTTTCTTGGAGGGACATTATTTTAAATTTCCACAATTTGAGTCATTCAAATTCCGATATCACTGATAGCTTAAACAGGTTTTATATAATGAAACATCAAATTTGTCTCACAATATATTGAAAAAATATTTATTTGAAATTGTATTTGAAAATGGAGAAAGTTGTAATTTTTGTTTCTGAAGGTGTTTGTCTAAGGAAAAATATTTTAAACGATATATTAAACATAATTATTTAAAGATATCCTTTCACTTTTCTTGTAAAACATTCTGGTATTCTTCATTACTCCAGGGACCTTTATACTGCTTTTATAAGACTCTCAATCTTGAACACTTTTATTACCCTTCTATGGAACAGGAGTTCTTGGCTAAACTATTGTAAAGTACATGATCATGAAGTGGTAGTTTCTGTGGCAATTTTACCTTGAACTCTGGTGTTGGTTTCCACAGTCTACTACCCATTATTTTGGATAAGAACCGTGTAGATAAAAATGGGTTGTTATTAAAGAAACTTAGAATAATAGGAAAAAATCACAAATCA